ACTTCCATTAAGCATTGGTTTGTTCTTTGGCGCTGCTCTATAGTTTGGTCTGTCTTTGCTTAAAGTTTTTTTTTTTTTTTTGGCACGCCTAATTACTTTGATCTTGTTCTTACCTCCCTTAATATTGGGTTGTTTTTTGGCACTTCCATTAAGCACTGGGTTATTCTTTGGCACTGCTTTATAATTTGGTCTGTCTTTACGCCTAATTACTTTGATCTTGTTCTTACTTCTCTTAAGCATTGGCTTTATTTTTTGGCACTACCTTATTTGGTTTTGTTCCTTATAATTCTGAAAATGGAGTATACATTCATAAGTAGAAATACTCTTGACCAAATCATAAAAAAATATATAGATAATCTTCCAAAAGCCAAACAAAAAAAAGCATTAATAAACCATGAGTTATTAAATAAAATAAAGATAATTTTGTTAAATCCACAAAATAATTTGCTCTACGATAAAAACTTATGGTCTTGGGTTAAAAGCAAATTCATACTTGAAGAAATTTTGCTGGGGACTACAAGTAATTGTTAAGGCCACGAACAATCCTGTATTAATAGTTGAAAAGTTCTATGATGTTTTATGTCAAATTCATAGTAAAATAACTCAGCACAGTGGTCAAAACAAACGTAAAACTTAGTTCGTGAAAGATGGAGATTTATTAAGCAAGAAATTGTGGAAAAGTTCATAAACAAATTGTCTCTAGGGACAATTTGTCTCTAAAGATGATTTGTTCCTCTTTATAAAAATCTATAATTAGTAGTGCCGATCTTTCCTTCCTGTATATTGTATCAACATTATACTAATATTAATAACATATAAAAAAATAAAAAAAAATAATAATAATAGAATAATAAAAAGAAAAAAATTATAGCTCATGACTGTTGGGGAGCCGCTTATAATGTACATATATATGGTACATTTGAAGATCTATACAAAAAGATAATATTTTGGGAGAATTCTTATTTTAATTTATTTGTCAAGAACAAATATAGAGCCATTATTTACAATATAAAATTAATTATTTATTAGCAAAATCAGTTTTCATTGTCTGTTTTATTGATATTTTTCTAATTAGATTGTTTTTAACTCAGCTTTTTAAAGGGGTGTACTTTTTGATTTTCTTTACTATTCTTGTTCAAAGTAATTTTTGAATTGTTTTTTATAGTTTTAATAAAAGCAGTATTTGATTTCATATTATAAAAAAAATTTTTAATTATTTTGTAAGATAAAGATAGAAGATAGATAAATTTTTAAAAAAAAAAATTTAAACTAAATTAATTATTTATATAAATTTTTGATAAGCTTTTTTAAATATTTGTTTTAAACTTATACTTTTAATATAATATTATATAGCTTAATATATAGGTGTGAGTCAATAGAAATTAAAAAATTATTTATAATAAAATTTTTTTATAACTTTAAACAAGAATAACTTAACAAAAGCTTGACCAAATCTAATAAAAAATTTTTAAAATAATTTTTGCATATTTGTAAAATTAATGTAAAAAATTTTTTTAATTCAATTAAGTTATCCTAGTTTAAAGTTTTTTTAAAAAAAACTTATTAAAAATATTTGCTTAATTTCTATTGACTCAAACCCATATATTGATTTACACTGGCGATCATAAATAATGCAGCAAAAAAAAAAATTTGTTAGATCGAATTTTCTTATGCAATTCCACATGTATCTTTTTACTTTTTTTTTATTTGTAAATAGTATTCTTTTCACCAATAAAAATGTTTTAAAAAATTAATCAATTAAATTTTTTAGATACACAAGCTTTATTTAAATTCACTTGCTGCATTATTTTTGCTCATTTTTATAGCAGCATGAATATAAAATATAAAAATTTTTTTGTACCTAAAAAAACAATTTTTTTTTCTATTTAATTCCCTACATGTTTACCGTCTAGTATATCTACCCTGAGCCCTAATAGCATTATGAACTCATTCTGGCATTGACTAAATCAAGTTCATGCAGGTCTCAAGATCGATTTGCTTCCACACTACCTGAATTTTTTTCCAGAGGTCTCTTTTACTTGAAATATTTCTGGAGAGCCTTCTCAAGCAACAGTCAACTTTAGCCCACAGGTGTTTGATTAGATTTAAATTGGGAGATGCAGGAGGCCACTTGAAGGTTCTTATTCTATTTTTTTAAAACCAATGTTTGGTTAAGATTGCATTACTGCAAGAGGCACCATTTTGCTGAAAAATTATATCCTGTGCCTTAAATCTGTAATTCCTTATGGTTCTCAGAAGATTATTATGAAGTATCAACTAGTACAACTTACCATCCATTATATTGTCGATTTTACAAACCTTTCAACACATGGGATGTAAAGCAATCCTATATCATAACAGAGCCACTTTATGCTTCACTTTTGGTTGTATTTGAAGGTAGTTTAACTGTTCCTCAGGATGCTTCTAGTAATACTGCTTTTTATCTAAGCCAAAAATTTAAATTGTGATTTGTCTTACCAAATTACCTTTGACCATTTTTTGATGGACCAGTCTTTATGTTTTTTGCAAAAATTGAGCCACCTTTTTAATAACTAGTACTTAGAAATGATTTTTTTCATTTAATCACCAAAATCAAACCATGCTCCTGGAGTATACAACAAATAGTAGAAGTCAAGCTTTGAGGTTTTCCTTTTCTTTCAGGTGGGAGACCAACTGCTCAGCCATAGAGCAGTGTCGAGAGTTAATTAAGTTTACAATCTTCATTTGGGCTAGTTCACCAAATGAAGATAGGTGACCAATCCTTTCTAAATCTTCAAGTGTGCGGTTCTCAAGCCACCTTTTCTTGGAAATATGACAGGTCCAGCCTATAGCCCTCATTGTATATCCTTTTTGTAGCAAGAGCAAAATTTGTGCCCTTTAGGCAGAAGTGGTATGGTTTTTTTTTTTTGCTTTTTTGATTATCAATTAATTCTAACATTGCACAAGATGCAAAATCAGACAAAGAAAATCTATTTATAAAAATGTGTCACATAGTATACATAAGCCATCTGATCTTTGGTAAAAACAATCAAAAATAATGCATCACATGTTTCATAACACATGTGTGATTATTTTTGTATTGGAAGTATAGATGTTTAATAAAATTCTACAAGTAAATAGTGACATCATTCATGAATAAAAAAAACAAAAAACAAAAGGATACACGTGGAATTGCACACGAAAATTTGATCTAATGAATTTTTTTTTGCTGCATTATTTATGATCGCCAGTGTACTTGTAAAAATTAAAACTTTTTATAATAGCTCTAATTGGTTTAAATATTATGATTTAGGTTAACCATTCCGGCGGATTGGCGGAATAGGACCTTTATTTAGATAACCTGAATTTGAATCCTAAATTTACTTAATAACAGTATTCATTATTAATCATTAATAAAATATGTCATTCTCTGATATACTAAACTGATATCCGTATAATTTATTAATTTGATATAATTATTATTACCTTTAAAATGATTAATTTAGGGTTTGATTAAAAAAGGTGTTACGATCGGTGGGAGAGCTTATATTGTCTTGGACCAATTTAGCTTCGATCGTGAACAAATAGTTGTTAAGGTTTAAATCAATAAACTAACACATATAATTACGGATTATAGGGTTTTCTCTTTATTAGCATAAATCAATACATCGAATTATACAATAATACCAAATACTAACAACAATCATTCCGCAAAACCGTTTTTCCCTTCACAAGCTGAAACTGCGCCCTTATATATTCGTAAATTCAGCCCGGGGTTTTAACTCCCTCGGGGGTTTAGACTTCCTCTGGGGTTTTAGACTTCTTCCGGGTTTTAGACTCCCTCGCCACAACAATCATTTCCCAGACTAAACCCAAATATGAAACTAATAAAATAATACTGATAAAATAATAAATACCAAATAAAGAAAAAAGAAAAATGTTCCAGGCATAACAACGGCCAATTCCGCCGGAATGCTTAGCATACCAATTTGGACCTTTATATGCACAATTACACGTTTTAATTCACTTTAATGATAAATGGTTTTCTTTAAATGAATTGCTAATAATGTTATTTCTTATGACTTTTTATTTTATCGCAGTTACTTTTATCTGCATTGATTTAGGGTGTTTTCAAGTGTTTCATCCAATTGTATTAAAAATTGTATTTTTACTATAATTATTACATTTTTAATATATTATACGTGCTTGCATGTTTAAATTATTTTTGCTACATGTACATCTCACGAATTACTAGCTACATTGACATTATGACTTATCTAATTAAAATCTCAATTTTACTATTTATTTAATAATAATCTTACAAGAAGAACATTAGGAAATTTTTTTTAGTGTAGTTCTGTACAGATTTGCAAAAAAATTAAATAATAAATCAAATAAAAATCTGTGCAAAACTTTAAACTTGATAGCTATAAATGTAGAAATTAGATGCTACCGTAAAGTGCCAACTATTGTATCCGGATATTTACAATGTCTTGAGATGTACCCGGGGTACTTAAGTGGGGGTATATTGTATTGATCAGGGGTATAATTCCAGAAAATAATGTCTTAAGCTGTACCCAGGTACTTAAGTAGAAGAGTATATTGTATGAAAATTGCACCCCGGGTATTCCCCAAAGCATAGAGGTATTACTCATTGAACCATGATTGTACCCGGATATAAGTCAAATTTAAGCACACAAATCATCACATAGGGAGATCTACCGTATGGCACTTTACGGTAATTCTGTATAAAACTTCAAATTTTATAAAATTTTACTGATTTTTTGTAAAAATTCTGCAAAAATCTGCAAAAATACGATTTTTGCAGATTTACACTTATTTAATTTTCCTGATGATACAACATTTATATTGTTATTCATATCATATTTATAGTAATTAATTTTAAAAAAAAAATTAAATAACAAAATTTCTAGTTAAGTAGCTAACAATATATTTTTTTACATATTTTATTACCACTTATAATTCTGGAATAACTCCAATATTTTGCCATTTTAAAAATTCTAGAAATTTTCATCTAATTCTCTAATTTTACAATTAGGGTTAATTGCAATAGCAGTAATATTTTTATGAATTCCTTGAAAAGATTTACTATCAGCTTCATCAGGAATGTTTTTATTAAGTATATTTTTTATAAAATCACAAGAACGAATTATTGAGACGTCTGAAATTTTATCTTAAATGTCTAAATACAATTATGCAACAATAAAATATAAATATAAATTATATATTCATTTAAGAACTAGTTGAAAAACTCTGAAAATTTTTTGATGTAAAATAAAATTCACTTGTTGAAAACAGTGACTTGTTTCATTATAAACTTCGAGCATAACTTTTGTAGGCTTTTTGAATGGTGAATTAGTAAAATTCATTGTAGCATATTTAGGGAATTGAAATTTACTTGGATTTGAAGCTCCGAAACTAAATAAAATATTCGAATCTAGAATTTTTTCTCCACCCTACTTTCTATTTTAATCAAAATTTTTTTTAAAAAAAAAACGTATAGATAATATAATTGAAGTGATTAGTATAATTGAAGTGATTAACATAAATTTCGATTTGAACAGGACATTTTAATTTTAATTACTTACACATGAAATAAGTGGTAAAGTTCCAAAATTTTCAGTCAACATTGGACTAATATATGGAATAGCTAATGCTTCATTTGCACAATATTATAAAAATCTTGGAGCCTTGGTAAAGGAATGAACCAACCACACTCGGATTTTTTTTTTTAATTATTTCTGCAAGGATTTTTACTTCATGAAATTCAATTGACATTGAAGATGTTCCAAGATTATGAATTTTTATCGTACAAGGAACAAATCTGTTTTATCCATTTCAGTATTCCAAAATGATGGCATACTACATGCTAAATCTACCCATGGTGACTTTTGGAATTCATAATTGTAAAGGAAGAATAAAATTATAATTTGATGGAATGATTTAAAAACTTTGTAAATAATAAAAAGACTGATGGAGATACCCATAAAATAAGTCTTGATGATAATTGTAAACCAATTTCACGAAGTAATAATACAGTAGCGACAGCCAATCCACTACCAGCACTAGAACCTGCAAAAATAATTTGTTAGGACCAAATAGTTCAAATCCAGCCTCGGACCAGGATTGTTAAGATAGAAATATGCTGCTAGGTGTCACAAAGTGGAACAAAAATGATGTTCCGGAGAACGATGATAATTAAGTGCTATTTGTAATGCATATATATATATAAATATAAAAGGTTAAAAATAATTATTTGTAGAGCTAAAAATATGAACTAAGAAATACGATGTAATACGATTAATAAAAAATTTTCCGAAAACTGCCATTCGGCATTTATAGCAATTCTACAAGTAAAATCACGACTTTTTTTATGTGACCCAAGAATATATGCTCCACCGTACAAATAGACTATTACCCTTCCTGTATCCTTCTGTCTTTAAGCTTAATCCAATCACCATATAATTCAACATTATCAAGACATTGCCATTTTTTATCAATAACGTCTTCATATATTTTCAATTTATCCATCAAGTATTCCTTACATTTGATCACATACTTTCACCCAATTTAACCTCTTCCATAATGCAATTATCTGGGATTGTTATCGGAATTAGTTCCGAAATTTTCCTTCTTTTTCTAAAGGCACATAGTTAATATTTTTAAATCCCTCCTGGAGTTGTTTTAGTGTTTCATAATATTGCGGAGACAACGAATATTGAAACATTTTAATAATTATGTATAATACATATATGATGCAGAAAATCTAAAAACTTTAGTCTCTTTATATAGAATTAATCAAAAAAAATTAAAATTTATCTCATTAGAGATTGGTCAAATTTATTGTTCTTATTAACAATTTATCAATGAGATTTGTTCATTAACAACTTACTAATGAGATATTCTATTAATTACTTATCAATCTGTATAAATATTTTTTATTGATAATTTAAGCAAATACAGCCTTTTTTACGTATAATAAACTGCATATTCCGAAATCATGTGTAGCCTTTTTCTCTGTAAAACTAATACTAAAAAAAATATTTTTTTTACGATCATATTACTTTGATATTACAATTTATGTTGATCTTCGCTTGCATATTTGTTTACGTACTATTTTATGCCCCACAAACATAATAATAGAATTTCGAGCATCGGTAAAAAAGGTTTGACCGAAGTTCGAATATTTGATAAATTTTTAATTGTACTACTATCACTACATTTTTAATATATAATTTATTAATTTTATAATCATGTTATCATTATCAAAGTTAAATTTCAATCAAAAAATGCATCATTATGTTGTCATTATCAAGACAAATAGTTAAATTTCAACATTCACTGATGCTTGATGATAACCGAATTAAAAACTCAGTGAATGAAAGCTTATTTTTGATCAATGATCGAATAATTAGTCACCGGTTCCAATCACTCAAAGCCAACGCGTAAGGCATATCGTTCGATGATTAATCCACGAATGAGAAAATCTGTTTAAAAAAATTTAATTACTGGTTTAATTGACTAATGCCGAGTAAGACGTAAACGTGGAATCATGGCATTGTGCACATGTTGCACATAATTGAAATTTTAGAATTCCTTTGGTTATCATAGAATTCTAGATCATGTTTGTAGAACATACCATTAATACTTTTGTACAAGTTGCATGTAAAACTTAAATTATTTAGATAAATTATTATTTTAACTATTTAATATAAAACGAATTTATGTGGGTTTGCACCTATAATATATTTTTATAAGTTTTATATATAAAATTTTGACTCAAATTATTTCGTGTTAGAGTTAGTATATAGGGTTAGGATTAGAGTTTTGGAGGGTTTTTAGGGGCGTAATACAATTTTATTTAGACACCTCATACTTATTAATTGGCCAATTTTTAAAACACCATAAATAAGTCTTAGTAAAAGAGTAATCTAACTTTCTAATTAGGTTTAAAAATCTAGTTATGCTTGATTTAATAAACCAGTAAAAATTTTTTAGCCAAAAAGGAGCTATTCCCTTACTACTGAACAGCGCTCATATATAGTAGAAACTGGGTTCTATAACATAACATATATACGATTAAGATAAATAAAACTTAGCAATTCTATTTTTGCTGTAAAACGATGAATAAGCACAAATAAGCACAATAGTGTTGGGTCTTCAAGTAAGCTTTACTATGTACGTACGTACATACGTTCTCTAAATATTGCTTATTTATGGGATTATATGTTATCGATTTTCAAATAATCAGTGAATAAACATCCTTATTAATAAAAATAAGTTTACGGTATTATATGTATAAGAGCTGACAAAACAAATTACTGAAATATCGACCGACTTAGCCGGCTAAGTAACTAAAGTATTCTCAAGTAATACGCTTAATGAATTAACTTGTGATTGTAGTGAAGCACAAACATTTAATTAAATCTCATTAAAATCAATAGAATGATTAATAGTGTAATCGAAGTATTCTTTTTATGAGGTTAACTTTTGATTGTATTTATACACAAGCATTAAATAAACAAAGTACTGATCACAATTGATGCTTAATGAATACTTTTATTGTTATTATATATTTGTTTATCGGTTCTATTAAAAGTTTGCATTTTACAATGTTGCAATGACAATAATACAAAAATAATAAATCAATGAAAAGAAATTTGCCCAAGAATTATGACCTTTTCCTATAGTTGTTAGACGAAACCTCGAGGTTTCGCGCTGACGAAATGCGAAACCTAGTTTCGTCTTTCGTCAACTAAAATCTCAAATGACGAAAGGTGATGAAACTGGTGAAAGGTGACGAAACTGACGAAACAGATGAAACTGCAAAGGGTACGAAGCTAATAATATATGAGAAACGGAAGCAAGTGTAAGTAAGGGCGCCACTGGCTCCTACATTTATGTTTATATAAGACTAAAATTTAAAA